CCCAGGCTGGAGTGCAATTACGCGATCTTGGCTCCTGCAACTGCTGCCTCCTAGGTTCAAGTGATTCTCCTGTCTCAGCCTCCCAAGTAGTTGGGATTACAGGCATGCACTACCACGCCCAGCTAATTTTGTATTTTTAGTAGAGAGATCTCTCCATGTTGGTCAAGCTGATGTCAAACTCCCAACCTTACGTGATCCACCTGCCTCGGCCTCCCAAACTGCTGCCATCATAGGTGTGAGCTGCCATGCTCAGCCTATTTTCTTATTCCTTAAGGCAATGGAAAACTTTTCTTCACAAAGAAGTTCATTTTTGTGAAGCAACAGACATTAATAGACACTTTATCTAAAAAGAAATACCCGTTTATTTAAAAAATAAAAATTTAAGTCTTTTTTTTTGTTCTTAAAGACGGAGTTTCACTATGTTGGTCAGGCTGGTCTTGAACTCCCGACCTCGGGTGATCCACCCACCTTGGCCTCCAAAGTGCTTGGATTACAGGAGTGAGCCACCGTGTCTGGCCTGAAAATTTAAAGGTCTAACCATACTCTCTCAATAAGAATTCTCAGACACTGGTGGTGGTAGGAATGCAAAAGAAAGCAATCATTTTATGTCAGTTTGGCATTTCTTAAAAAATTTTACCTACCAGGTGACTCAAGCACTACACATGGAGATATTAATGAAAGAGTAAAATATATGGGGCCGGGCACGGTGGCTCAAGCCTGTAATCCCAGCACTTTGGGAGGCTGAGGCGGGTGGATCACAAGGTCGATGGATCGAGACCAACCTGGTCAACATGGTGAAACCCCGTCTCTACGAAAAATACAAAAAATTAGCTGGGCATGGTGGCGCGTGCCTGTAATCCCAGCTACTCAGGAGGCTGAGGCAGGAGAATTGCGTGAACCCAGGAGGCGGAGGTTGCGGTGAGCCGAGATCGCGCCATTGCACTCCAGCCTGGGTAATAAGAGCGAAACTCGGTCTCAAAAAAAAAAAAAAAAAAAGAGTAAAATATATGAAGAATTATATTCAAAAGTTAGAAGCAATTCAAATATAAATAAATGGATGGATTACTATGCAAACACTTATGTTTCACAGCATGTCATACTTCTCAGCAATATCTAATGATATATCATCACTAATAGCAAAATAAATTATATAATAGGGAACCCAAAAACGTAGAGGAAATACTTTATAGTATCAATCTTATAAAATTCCAGAAAATACAAACTAATCTGTTTTAAAGCACACTAAACCAATGGTTGTCTGGCGAGCAGAGAGAAACATCCTATTAAAAGGCTCATCTGGGCACAGTGGCTTACACCTGTAATCCCAGAACTTTGGGAGGCTAAAACAGGCAGATCACTTGAGGTCAGGACTTCGAGACCAGCCTGGCCAACATAATGAAACCCCATCTCTAGTAAAAATACAAACGTTAGCTGCATGTGGCGGTGCACGCCTGTGGACCCAGCCACTCTGGAGACTGAGGCAGAAGAATCGCTTGAACCCAAGAAAAGGTTGGAGTGGGCCGAGATCATGCGACCACACTTCAGCCTGGGTGACAGAGTAAGAGTCTGTCTCAAAAAACAAAATATAATAAATAAAAGCTAGGCATGGTGGCTCAAACCTATGGTTCCAGCTATTCAGGAGACTGAGGTGGGAAGACTGCTTGAGCTCAGGAATGTCAGGTTACAGTGAGCTATCATCATGCTGCATTCCAGTCAGGTGACAAAGTGAGACCCCAACTCTTTTTTTTTTTAAAGACGAGGTTTCACCATGTTGGTCAGGCTGGTCTTGAACTCCCGACCTCAGGTGATCCACCCGCCTTGGCCTCCAAAGTGCTTGGATTACAGGCATGAGCCACCACGCCCGGCCCTGACCCCAACTCTTAAAAAATAAAAAATAGGCTAGGTGCAGTGGCTCACACCTGTAATCCCAGCACTTTGGGAGGTCAAGGCAGGTGGATAATGAGGTCAGGAGTTCGAGACCAGCCTGACCAACATAGTGAAACCCCATCTCTACTAAAAGTATAAAAATTAGCCAGGCGTGGTGGCATGCACCTGTAATCCCGGCTACTCAGGAGTCTGAGGCAGGAGAATTGCTTGAACCCAGGAGGCAGAGGCTGCAGTGAGCCAAGATCACACCATTGTACTCAGCCTAGGTAACAGAGTGAGACTCCGTCTCAAAAATAAATAAAAAAAAATAAAAAATAAAAAATGGGCCAGACGCAGTGGCTCATGCCTGTAATCCCAGAACTTGGGAGGCCAAGGCAGGTGAATCACGAGGTCATGAGATCAAGACAAGCCTGCCTAATCAACATGGTGAAACCCCATCTCTCTAAAAAAAAAATTAAAATTAAAAAAAGGGATGGGCGCGGTGGCTCAAGCCTGTAATCCCAGCACTTTGGGAGGCCAAGGCTGGTGGATCACAATGTCAAGAGATCGAGACCATCCTGGTCAACATGGTGAAACCCAGTCTCTACTAAAAATACAAAACATTAGCTGGGCATGGTGGTGTGTGCCTGTAATCCGAGCTACTCAGCAGGCTGAGGCAGGAGAATTGCCTGAACCCAGGAGGCGGAGGTTACGGTGAGCCGAGATCGTGCCATTGAACTCCAGCCTGGGTAACAAAAGTGAAACTCCATCTCAAAAAAAAAAAAAAAAAAAAAAAGTCTATACTTACCATATGGTAGTTTAAATATGTACAGTTTACTGAATGTCATTTATACCTTATTACAGCTTTAAATAATTGGTTCAAAAGAAAAATGTGGGCTGGGCTGGGCGTGGTGGCTCACGCCTGTAATCCTAGCACTTTGGGAGGCGGAGATGGGTGGATCACCTGAGGTAAGGAGTTCAAGACCAGCCTGACCATCATGGTGAAACCCCATCTTTAAAAAAAAAAAAAGGAAAAAAAAAAGAAAAATATGGGCTGGCTGGACATGATGGCTCAAGCCTTTAACCCAAGCACTTTGGGAGGCTGAGGGAAAAGGACTGCTTGAGTTAGAGGCTGCGGTAAACTCTCATCTCACCACTGCACTCCAGCCTAGGTCACAGAGCAACAGCTTGTCTCAAAGGGAAAAAATAAAAAAGGAAAGAAGGAAAGAAAAATATAGACTTCCCATTATTTTTGCCAAATACGCTTGGCAACTATAGAAAATCTCCTCATGCCCTAAGTGTGGCACCTAGTATCTGCAGTAGCAAATACTGATGAGCCAGGAAGGCAATTTTCATCTAATTAAATTGGAACACTGATTGGTCACAAAGACCGTTATCACTGGACTAAGAGATCTCCCTTCTCCCTATCCTCTTCCTCCTTCCAATGCAGGAATTACCTTGAGGTGAACAGCTGAGAAAGGGTACAGGAATCCATAAAACCTTTAATATTATTTCCTTTGACAATGGTCTCAGCTACACAAGATTCATAATTATGGAGGTTCTGCGCCTGACTGTCCACCGCATAGTGGACAGTCCACATAGTGACTGAAATCACTGTGGATCTCCTTTTTAAAGATGTGTATTCCAACTCTGCTCTTACAGTCTCCTCCACTGCCTATAAATGCAGTAATTCTATAAATTATGATTTTCTGCTACAGTCTCATAACCTGGGATACCACCCTATGAAACTTGGTGTACCAGGGCGCATGGCTGTGGCACCTAGGGGACAGATCACCCTCAGCAGTACCGAGCAGAGTGCAACATCCCGCGTAAAGGAGAGAAGGATTTCATGTTGAATTTAGAAGCACCAGATGATGTCACAAACACTGTTCCCTTCTCGGGTTGACCTATAAACCCAGAAATTACTGGAATTATCTAGTCAAAAATTAAGTTCTGGAGTCTTTGGAGGCCTTGGGCAGCCATGAAAACCATGGCGTAAGTGAAGAGACAGTATGTTCTGTCATCATATTGTCCCGAGGCACACAAAATCTAGTGATCCCAACCAAAGCTGTTTGCCCCTTTATGACGGCAGAACACAGCTGTTTCCAAACCACCCCAGAGAATAAATACAACACTCAAGATTGAAGGAGGCTTAAACAATAAGGCCTTAGTCACTGCCCAAATCAGAGCAATGGGAGGCAGAACGTTCTCCGGTTGGAGACTTAAGGGCGGAAAAAAATTCTACCTGAAGAATCACGTAAGACCTCTAAGATTTCTGAAGAAAGCAGTCCTTATTTTCAAGCCAACAGACGACTCCTATGGACCAGTACTTAGATCCATGGTCTCACTCATCAGAAATGAGAAAGGAATGACAGCTGAGACTACTCACCAATTCCTCTGGCCAGAGGAGGACAATCAAGGTTTACTTCCAGAACACCATCAGTGAATGATGCACTGTGAAAACCTACCATGTGGCAGACATAAATGGCTTTTGCCAGGTAACTGGCAGTGACATAAATCTGGCAAGGGAATAGGACAGGGTGAAAAATGCCATCTAGCTCCAACATAATCTTTTTTTTTTTTTTTGGAGACAGATATTTTTTGCTCTTTTTGCTGAGGCTGGAGTGCAATGGCATAATCTCAGCTCGGTGCAACCTCTGGTTCAAGTGATTCTCCTGCCTCAGCTTCCCAATAGCTGGGATTGCAGGCATCTATCACCTCGCCCAGATAATTTTGTATTTTTAGTAGAGATGTGGTTTATCAGTGTTGGTCAGGCTGGTCTCAAACTCCTGACCTCAGGTGATTCACCTGCCTCAGCCTCCCAAAGTGCTGGGATTACAGGTGTGAGACACTGCACCCAGTCGGGTGAAGGCTTTCTTACATTCATCATACTGAAGAGGCACTTCCGCAGTGGAAGCTCTTCTGTACGTAATAAAGCAAGACTTCTGCATAAATAATATCCCACATTTATCACATTCATAGGGTCTTGATTCAGCTAAGAACTGATCAAGGAGACACAGAGGTTTAGCTAAAGAATTTCCCAAATTTCTTTCACTTATAAGGACTTTTTTCAGTGTGAACTCTTTGATGTCGAAGGAGAGAAGAGCTTCGATGAAAGGATTTTCCACATTCACTGCATTCATAAGGCCTTTCTCCAGTGTGAACTCTCCTGTGTTCATTAAGACTGAAGGTTTCGGCAAAGGATTTCCCACATTCGCTGCACTCATAAGGCTTTCCTCTAGTATGAAGTCTCTGATGTTTAAAATGTGCAGACCTTCGAGTAAATGTTTTTCCACATTCACTGCATTCATAAGGCCTTTCTCCAGTGTGAACTCTCCTGTGTTCAAGGAGACTGAAGAAGAATTTCCCACATTCTCCACACTCATAAGGTCTTCCTGCAATGTGAGTTTTCTGATGTCTTAGGAGGGAAGAGCTTTGGTGAAATGATTTTCCACATTCTCCACACTCATAAGGCCTTTCTCCAGTATGAACTCTCCGATGTCGAAGGAGGGAACAGCTTTGAGGAAATGACTTCCCACATTCACTGCACTCAAACGGTTTTTCTCCAGTGTGAACTCTCTGATGAATACGAAACCCAGAGCTGTCCTGAAATGACTTCCCACATTCATTACATTGGTATGGCCTTTCTCCAGTGTGAGCTCTCTGGTGTTCAATGAGGTGGGACTTGCCCCTAAATAATTTCCTGCACTCCCCACACTCGTAAGGCCTTTCTCCACTGTGGCTTTGCTGATGCTGAATGAGGTTGCCCTTTCGACTAAAGGATTTTCCACATTCTCCACACTCGTAAGGTCTTTCTCCAGTGTGACCTCGTTGATGGTTCCTAAGGTGTCCCTTTCGACTAAAAGATTTCCCACATTCTCCACACTCATAAGGTCTTTCTCTAGTGTGAACTCGATGATGTTCAGTCAGGGTGCCCTTTTGACTAAAACATTTTCCACATTCTTCACACTCATAAGGTCTTTCACTAGTGTGACCTCGCTGATGCTGAATGAGATTGCCCTTTTGAGTAAAACATTTCCCACATTCTTCACACTCATAAGGTCTTTCTCCAGTGTGAACTCGCTGATGTTTACTGAGGGTACCATTTTGACTAAAAGATTTCCCACATTCTCCACACTCATAAGGTCTTTCTCCAGTATGAACTCGCTGATGCTGAACAAGGCTGCCCTTATGACTAAAAGATTTCCCACATTCTCCACATTCATAAGGTCTATTCCCAGTGTGACCTCTCTGATGATTACTGAAGCTATCATATTTGCTAAAGGACTTCCCACATTCACAGCAGTAACATCCTTCTCTAGGGAGAAGTCTCTGCTGTTGAACAAGTATGTGTTTGGTGCTAGAATGTTTCATGAATTCTCCACAGCTATAATGAGTTTTTCCCCTCTGAAAAGGAGACACACACTCAGTTTTGCTGTTTGACTTCTCCCCAGTGTGAGTGGCCTCCTGCTGAAATAATCCTGAGCTGGGCAAAAAGTCCTTTCCACTCTGAATGAAGACAGATGATTCCTCTGACACATGGAACTTACACCTCCTCACAAACAATGCTTCCTCAACACTGCTTCTATAGGGTTTCTCTCCAAGGTACTCATTCTGGTGCTGATGGTTTGAACTATCACACAATTTATTCCCCCATGCCTCACACCTGTGCAGTTTCTGCTTGTGATGTGTTCCCTGATGATCTGCCATGTGCAAAATGTCTCCCAAGATTGTGCCACATATTTCACAGGGGTGAGCCTTCTTGAGAGACGCACCTGTCCTAGGAGTGCTGACCTGAGACACTCTTTGTATAGAAATGTTCTGCTTAGAAGGTGCCTCCTCATCTGATCCACACCAACAACCTGAAAGCAAGAAAAGAATTCAAGTTAACTCTGGTGGGAAGGCACAGCCCACCCACAAGTGTGCCTGACAAACTAAGGAATTACTCCATGGAAATATTTGCAGGAACAGAATGTTGGCATCACATGGAAGATGAGGCTGTCATTACCAGGCTATAAAGGTCACAGAATGCAGGAGGCCTCTGTGACCTTTATATAATATGAAGAGCAGAAGCATACATGCAACACAGAGGATCGAGCCAGGGTCTCACTCTGTCACCCAGCATGGAGTGCAGTGGGACAATCTCTGCCTCCTGGGCTCAGATGATCCTCCCACCTCAGCCACCACAGTAGCTAGGACCACAGGTGCACATCAACATGCTTAGCTTTTTGTAGAGATGGGGTTTCGCCATGTTGCCAGGCTTGTCTTGAACTCCTGGGTTGTAGAAATCTGCCCACAGCAGCCTCCCAAAGTGCTGGGTTTACAAGTGTAAGCCAAGGTGCCTGGTACACAGCTCTTTCCTTTGCAAACCACTTCTCTGCAGGAAATTACCTCATGACATGTTAATGCTATATAGAAGGATATATCCAGGCCTAAGAAAATAATTACAAGACAACTGTTTAACAATGTGTACACACTTATTAATACACAATGTATATGCCACTTTTGGAGAACACTCCAGAAGAAAACATGAGAAAATAAATGGGTGAAATGTGGAGTCCAGAGACTTGAATATTTGTTGGGGGATGGATATCAGAGTACAAGTGACAAGGTGTACAACTGACAAGTTTGATGCTCTCGAGAATGGAGAAGACAGAAATATTGAGTGCCTACTGTCCACAAAAATACTAATCAAATATAATAGGTTTCTGGTATGATTTGAATAAAATCCCAACCTCATGCCCTCCCACAAGGTGCCACTCCTCAGTGACAAGCTCCCTCTGAGAACATGAGTCTGAGCCTGGATTCAACTGCATCTTCTGTAGCACTGAGGACTCTCCACCCCACTACCAAGATGATGAAATACATGGAACCTGGATGACATAAGTACAGGGAAAGATAGGGCAAAAGTGGGACAACCAGCCTCTGGCAACAAATATTGATGAGCCAGGAAGGCCACTTCCACCTGATTAAATTGAAATGCTGGCTGGTCACAAAGGCCACATCACTGGACTCCCTATCCTCTTCCTCCTGCCAATATGTGCTGGATAGTTTTTGAGCCAACAGCGGCTCAAAACATGACAACACACAGGAAAGGAAACTAATTACTAAAAACAGAATTTCTAAGGAGGGTCTGACCTTTGGTCTATGTAAGCAGTGACAATGTGAGTGATGACAATTCCTGCTACAGGCAGGCATAAAGTAATGTCAGCTGAAGGAAGCAAGTAGAACCTGGACACACAGGAGTGTTAGATATGGACGAAGTCAAACAACGAGGGGACAAGCAAGGCGAAATGCATTAGACTGACTACAAGACTCTTGACTCTGACTTCTTCCCTGAGAGTCTACAGCAAAGCAGGTATTGGAGCTGCTCAAGGAGGGAGGGCAGTACACACACCTCAGACCTATCAACCACAAAACCTATCGAGAGGTGGAGAAGAAAGCTGTGCCCATGGTCTTGACAGGAGACAGTCAGTCTTGCTAATGGTAAAAAGGGGAAGGGCAGAGACTTATTCAGGAAATAGAGGAGGGTGTGAAGAACTTACCCAGGGAGGATATAAGTACCCAGTTCTCCAGCATCACGTCATGGTAAAGGCATCTCTGAACCTCACTAAGAAGACTCCATTCCTCCCAGGAAAAGTTCACAGCCACATCTTCAAATGTCACAGTGCCCTGCTGTGATGGTGACAGATGAAACCACAAACAGTTCCTATGCTGAGATAGTACAATCCACCTCTCCAACTTACCCCGACTTGCCCATCCTCCTCCCAAGATCCTCAGCACAGAGGAGAAAACAGGTCCACTGGTGCTTTTGTCTCTTTGTGGGACCACTGGTCACTCAGTATAGCCATAAGCAAATAAGAAGTAGGGGAAAAATAGGAATCTATGCTGTGCTCTTATAATAAAAGCCAACGCCTCTGGTATATCCAAGTTCACATAAAGCCCAGTGCAGTTGCCTGGGTCCATCAGACATACTCCCTCTCTAAATACACATATTCTTTTTCTTTTTTTTTTTTGAGACGGAGTTTCGCTCGTTACCCAGGCTGGAGTGCAATGGCGCAATCTCGGCTCACCGCAACCTCTGCCTCCCAGGTTCAGGCAATTCTCCTGCCTCAGCCTCCTGAGTAGCTGGGATTACAGGCATGCGCCACCATGCCCAGATAATTTTTTTGTATTTTTAGTAGAGACGGGGTTTCACCATGTTGACCAGGATGGTCTCGATCTCTTGACCTCGTGATCCACCCGCCTCGGCCTCCCAAAGTGTTGGGATTACAGGCTTGAGCCACCACCCCGGCTACATATTCTTTTTTTTTTTTAGTGAGGCTGCAGTGCAGTGGTGTGATCTCGGCTCACTGCAACCTCCTGCCTCAGCCTCCCAAGTAGCTGGGATTAAAGCCCCTGCCACCACCCCTGGCTAACTTCTGTATTTTTAGTAGAAATGGGGTTTCACCACATCGGCTAGGCTGGTCTCAAACTCCTGATCTCAGGTGATCCACCCCCCACAGCTTCCCAAAGTATTGGGATTACAGGCGTGAGCCACCATGCCCAGCCTTACACATCATTCTTTAAACGACACAGGCACATGCCACGGCCACCCCGAGGTGACATCCCCCAACCATCAGCCTCGTTTGAACATTAACACAAATCAGTTTTGGTTATTCTTTTTTTTTTTTTTTGAGACAGAGTCTCGTTCTGTCTCCAAGGCTGGATTGCAATGGTGCGACCTCCGCTCACTGCAACCTCTGCCTCCTGGGTTCAAGTGATTCTCCTGCCTCAGCCTCCTGAGTAGCTGGGACTACAGGCACGTGCCACCACACCTGGCTAATTTTTTGTGTTTTTAGTAGAGAAGGGGTTTCACCACGTTAGCCAGGATGGTCTCAATCTCCAGACTCCATGATCTGCCTGCCTCGGCCTGCCAACGTGCTGCGATTACAGGCATGAGCCACCATGCCCAGCGTTTTTTGTTTGTTTTTTTTTTTTTTTTGGGACGGAGTTTCCCTCTTGTTGCCCAGGCTAGAGCGCAATGGCGCGATCTCAGCTCACCACAACCTCTGCCTCCTGAGTTCAAGCAATTCTCCTGCCTCAGCCTCCCGAGTAGCTGGGATTACAGGCGTGCACCACCACACCCATCTGATTTTTGTATTTTTAGTAGAGACAGGGTTTCACCATGTTGGCAAAGATGCTCGATTTCTAGACCTCGGGATCTGCCCACCTCAGCCTCCCAAAGTGCTGGGATTATAGGCATGAGCCACCGTACTCAGCCTGGTTTTGGTTTCTTTTAGTCAGGTTCTCCCTTGGTTACCCGACAGGTTCTAGCAACTTCAGATCCCTTGATTTGAGTGATTCCCAGGCTTCAGCTTTGTGAGGAGATAAGATCATACATATGTGCAACATCAACCATTTTCTTTTAAGAGATGGGGTCAGGCCGGGCGCGGTGGCTCAAGCCTGTAATCCTAGCACTTTGGGAGGCTGAGGCGGGTGGATCACGAGGTCGAGAGATCGAGACCATCCTGGTCAACATGGTGAAACCCCGTCTCTACTAAAAATACAAAAAACTAGCTGGGCATGGTGGCACGTGCCTGTAATCCCAGCTACTCAGGAGGCTAAGGCAGGAGAATTGCCTGAACCCAGGAGGCGGAGGTTGTGGTGAGCCGAGATCGCGCTATTGCACTCCAGCCTGGGTAACAAGAGCGAAACACTGTCTCAAAAAAAAAAAAAAAAAAAAAGAGATGGGGTCTTGCTAAGTTGCCTGGGCTGATGTCAAACTCCTGGCCTCAAGCAATCCTCCCACCTCAGCCTCCCAAAGTGCTAGGATTACAGCATGAGCCTTCAAGCCTGGCCAACAACTTAAAGTGTTTTAATCTCATTCTTTCCCTTCTACTGCTCTGAGTGGGATTCTCTCCTTAAGGTTACAGTGTTGGGGAAACAACTGACATCTGAGACTGTACAGATGCCATCAACAGCAATTTCAAAATCAAGTAACTCATACCCTGGCAAAGAGGCCACATGGGGGTTGCACTATGGATAACAAAGTGAAACCAGAGACCGTGTTATTCACATTTTGTAAGACGATGAGAGTGTGATAGCCCTTGATTTCTCAAGAGGGTGCCATTGACTTGTTTTAATAATTCTGAGTAGGAATGGAATTGAAACCCAGCACAAAGTATAATAACCAGAAACTGTGTCTGATCCCTTGATGAAAAGGGTTGTTAGGCCAGGATACATCATCCAACAGAGCAGAGTAGGAAGGGGATTTGCACTCAGACCATTTGAGGTCATACAGTATCACCACACATCAAGGTGACACATCACATTGTGATTTCGTTTTTGGCCTTACAACATGGCTGACAGAATTCAGAGTATGCGTGGCAAATTCATGAAGGATCCAATATTACCACAGAATTCTCAAGGTTCCCAATAGCAACGCAGTCCCAAGTCATTCTATGAAGGCCTCCTTGCATGGCTCCACACCACCAGAGAACCAGGTGTGGCTTTAGATATCCACAGCCCTATTCCACTTCTGTGATGCACTTGCTGACCCCTCTACAATGATGACTTTCCTCTGTCCACCTAGAGTCATTTAAGTCCCAGTCTCTTGTTACAGAGAATGGTCTAAGAAAAGCGAAAACAAAAAGAAAAAAACTAAAATAAAATCCCAGGCCATCAGTCATCCATCCCAGGCCTAGTGTCTGTCACAGATAACCAAATTTAACCTGACCATATCCACCAGGCTGAATGAAAACCCCCAAGCACCAACAAAGTTATCTCGAAATCTTAGTGGGTCCACAGAGTGATGAGTAAGTACCGGCCTTGGCCCAAATGTCATCTTCCTTCAATTATTTCTGTGCTTCTGCTTTCATCTCTTATCTATTCTACCCCTGGAAGCTTACGTCCCCTGACAAACCACGGTGTTTGATATACCCTACCTTCATGAGACCCTACCTCTTTCTCCTGTGGCAACATCAGCCAGGAACCTAAGAAAGAAATTCAGCCCTCAGCCTCCAACAGTCCCTTCCTGGCCCCCCAAAAGAGTTACCACGATAATATGAAGTGTATCAATGTCATAATGGAGGCTAAACTCCCTCAGACTCTTAACCAGGCCAAAACAACACTTTTCATATCCCCAATGAATATTATACCTACCAACTATGTCCACATCTCAAGTTGATGCAGCTTCCATCGCTATAGCTAAGACCAAAAACCTTGTACTCATACCTGATTCCCCTTTCACACCCTCACCATCCATTAAAAAATCTAATTGCCACTTACAAACTGTCAATGTTGAATCCAGCCACAACTCCTTAACCATTAATATGGTCCATTAACTCTCACCTGCATTGCTGCAAGAGCTTAAACTCTGATCCTCTTTCCTCCTCTCTCAAACACAGTGTGTTCTCCTCTTCTTTGGAGCCAGATGATGCCTGCAAACAAATGGGACTTGGTAACATCACCTCCCCACCCCCGCCCCTCAACCGATCAGTTTTACCTCTAAGCATTTCATGACCTGGTACCAACTCTGTAGTTAACCTTCAGAGTATGTTTACATGGGTTGACAGAAATGGAAATTCCTCCATACACTCTATGTCATGTTCTTAGGATTCTGAGTTTAGGTTTTCTCCAGCGTTTTCAGATCAAAGGACTGAAAAAAAACGGGTCCCAGGACATCACAAGCTAGAGAACATGTGAATGGGGGATAAGGCCAGCAAGGAAATGGAACACCCTCCAACTCCCTCTGTGGGTTTTTTTTTTTTTTTTTTTTTTTTTTGAGACGGAGTCCAGCATTGTCACCTGGGCTAACGTGCAATGGCACCATCTTGGCTCATGCAACCTCTGCCTCCTGGGTTCCAGAGATTCTCCTGCCTCAGCTTCCCGAGTAGGTGGGATTACAGGCGCCTGTCATTAGGTCTGGCTTTATTTATTTATTTATTTTGTATTTTTAGTAGAGACGGGGGTTCACTACGTTGGCCAGGCTGGTCTCAAACTCCACCTCGTGATCCACCCATCTCCGCCTCCCAAAGTGCTGGGATTACAAGCAGCCACGGCACCGGCCTGTGGGTGGGTTCTTTAAGGGCTTCTACAGCCAGGAGTGCCTGAGGGGAAGGCAGACATTTGAGAATCTGATAAGCTCCTGTCTCCAGGAAGCTTTTCTTTTCTTTTTCTTTCCACCCCACCCTCCTCCCCAGATTAAGAGTCTGTCCCCAGGTGCCGGGCTGGAGTGCAGTGGCTTGATCTCAGCTCACTGCAACCTACCCCTCCCGGGTTCAAGGAGTTCTCCTGCCTCAGCCTCCCGAGTAGCTGGGACTACAGGCTCGCCCCACCACACCCAGCTAATTTTTTTATTTTTTTAGTAGAGACAGGGTTTCACCATGTTGGCCAGGATGGTCTCGATCTTTTGACCTGGTGATCCGCCTGCCTCGGCCTCCCAAAGTGCTGGGATTACAGGCGTGAGCCATCGCGCCCGGCCTCCGTGAACCTTTTCTTATCCCTGGAGCCAGGTGACCTCGTGCTGGCTGTCTGACCTGCGTGTCTCAGTGAAAAATGTCATCTCTGCCACCTATGCGATCTACTAACAAGGATTCAACCTCCCAGAACCCCAAGATCCTCATCCCCTCTCTCTACTATGTTCTTCTTTTGGCCTTTGGAAAACCTTAAAAGGCTGAACTTGGATCATGTCCCTCCTTTTTTCGAAACTCTAAAGCCACCAACCTGCTCTTTGCGGAGGACCTTCGTTTCACATGTTGCTCCCCACAGACGCCTGTGGGGACCTAAACGGGGACCTCTCCCGCGAGTGACTCAGTGTCCTGACGCCGGGTCCGGGCCGCACACCTGAGAGCAGGTGCGGCTCCCTCGCTGCTTTAGGACTCGGGTTAGCATGAGGTGACCTTAGGGCAGGTAAGATGCCACAATTACCTGAGCCGGGAGCTTCAGCGCGGCCGCCGCCATCCGAGTACGTGGGGAAAGCACGGCCGGGAGCGGCGGGCGCCGTTACGGGGCTTAAGATCCGCCTCTGGGCAGTGAGAAAGAACTCCTCTCCCCCTACTGGGTTCAGACACCGCGATTCGGACCCAGGGCTCCAGGACCTCTCACCTCGCAAACCTCACAGACACCCAACGCTAACCAAAATGGCCGCTAGCAGAAGCCGCCGAAGTCCCGCCCCCACGTTACGTGCGCACACAGAAACACCTTTACTCTGAGCCCTCACTGGTTCTGCCGCGCTGTCACTCAATGCAGAGCTTCCTGGGTAATGCAGTTCCCCGGGTTCCAACGCAGCAAAGCTGCCGCTTCCCACAGGCGCTTCTGCAGGGGAGTCCCAATTCCACCTCAGGGGTTCATTAAAGCGGGCATCCTTCTAGAGCAGAGGCCGGTCTCGCCCTTCCTTTGAGGCCATATTGAGATACCTGGGGAATCTGTGTTTGTAACTGACCACCCAAGTGTTTGCAAAAATATTTTATCACATTTTTGGGCCAGGCGTGGTGGCTCACGCCTGTAATTCCAGCACTTCGGGAGGCCGAGGCAGGAGGATCACCTGAGGTCAGGAGTTTGATACTAGCGTGGCCAACATGGTGAAACCCCGTCTCTATTTAAAAAAAAAAAAAAAAAAAAAGTTAAAAAAAAATCACATTTTTGGAAATTCAAGCTCCCATGCACTAGAAATATGAATGCCCCCAAAGGTTAGAAATCCAAATTCATGTATCACTTTATACAATCGTTTAGACACAAAATGCCTGCACTGGAAGCAGAGGCTGATAAACATTACTGTTATAACTCACATGAATTCACTCTTGTTATCAGATGGAAAGTCTTGACTCTGAGTTCTCCAGGTGGTTATAGCATTGAACAAATAAGTGAACAAAAAGCACAAAAAAACCCAGAATAATGAACCAATGAAAGAGCAATTTATGGAAGTGAAAGCAACCTCCACAGAAGTGGCATGTAGGACTGGGAGGACGCAAGCAAGTGGCTCCAGAGCCCTGATTACATGTGTTTTTTTTTTTTAGGGTTTTATTAGATTGATGCAAAAGCAATTGCGTTTTTTGCCATTAATAAGCTAGAATTTTGTAACACCCCAAGAGTTCTTTAAAGGCCTCCACTCCTATGAAGAATTGGTGCACGACCAATCAGACGTTGAGGTGGAGACGTCTCTCTTATCACAGGAGTGAGGATGTGGCCTGTGTGATGCCTAATCTTGCCTGGAACTGGCTGCACCTGCTGTTCTTTTGCTCATGCCTTCATCCTTGGTTACTCTAATGCCCTATTTTCCTGCCTCACTATGAGGCGTTAGAGTTGGTTTCTCAGTCTACAAGGGACAAAAGAGAACTAATCCAGCTAGGACCATGCCACGGAAGATAGAGCTGTGCCTGACTAAAGCAAGAGTACAAAGGTGAATCTCTGTCATTCCCAAAGAAAAACAACTGTCCTGCCTATTAAGTCAATAATTGTGTCTGATTCATTGAGCAAAACATTTATTCATGTAATATCCCTTACTTGGCTTTCTAACTTATTATATTTTCAACCCATTTTAGGAACCTGAAATCAGGAATCAGTCTCAGGTAAAGAACAATGAGAGAAATCCCAGCTTGGTATTGGTAATGGTGGTGATGATCTCACCTGGAGACATTGGGTGTATGTTAAATTACTGAGCTCATATCTTTCCTGGGAAGTGCTTATCATTTGTATCTCTTCTGACAGCAGGGAGTGTTCAACATGAACTAGTATGACACCAGAAAAAGTGGAAAAATGCAAGTCACAGAAACTCAATACCAATCACTAATAAATGATACATGACAGAAATTGCTCTATTAAAACATTAGTGGATAATGAAAAGTTTTTAAACTTCACAGAAGTTTTTTTTTTTTTTGAGGTAAGTCCCACTCTGTCACTCTGTCATCCATGCTGGATGCTCACTGCAACCTCTGCCTTCTGGGGTCAAGCAATTCTACTGCCTCAGCCTCCCAAAGTAGCTAGGATTACAGGCACACGCCACCATGCCCAGGTAATTTTTAAATTTTAATTATTTTTTGAGACAAGAGTTTTGCTCTTGTTTCCCAGGATGGAATGCAGTGGCACGATCTCTACTCACTGCAACCTCCACTTCCTGGGTTCAAGTGATTCTCCAGCCTCAGCCTCCTGAGTATCTGGGATTACAGATGCCCGCCACCATGCCCAGCTAATTTTTGTATTTTTAGCAGAGACAGGGTTTCACCATGTTGGCTAGGCTGGTCGCAAACTACTGACCTCAGGTGATCTGCCCACTTTGGCCTCCCAAAGTGCTGGGATTAAAGGTGAGTCATCGCTCCCAGCCAACAGAAGTTTCTTCTTTTCTTTGAGATGGAGTTTCGCAGCTCTTGTTGCCTAGGCTGGAGTACAATGGCATGGTCTCAGCTCACCGCAATCTTTGCCTCCCAGGTTCAAGCAATTCATTCTCCTGTCTCAGCCTCCCAAGTAACTGGGATTGCAGGCGCCTGCCACCACTCCTAGCTAATTTTTGTATCCTAGTACTCTGGGAGGCCGAGCTGGGTGGATCACCTGAGGTCAGGAGTTCAAGACCGGCCTAGCCATCATGGTGAAACCCCCATCTTTAAAACAAACAAACAAAAAGAGGGTTTCACCATTTTGGCCAGGCTGGTTGCGAACTCCTGACCTTAGGTGAACTCCACCTCAGCCTCCCAAAGTGCTAGGATAACAGGCATGAGCCACAACACCTGGCCCAGAGTTTTAACAGTGATGTCTAAGAGAGATGGAATTAAGGTCAACATGTGATTAAAATGGTGCCCTTGTTGGTTTTGTCATTAAAATGAGATTATCTTTCTTTATTGAAAACATTGAACGGCCGGGCTCGGTGGCTCACGCCTATAATCACAGCACTTTGGGAGGCCGAGACAGGTGGATTAAGAGGTCAAGAGATCGAGACCATCCTGGTCAACATGGTGAAACCCTGTCTCTATTAAAAATACAAAAATTAGCTGGGCATGGTGGTGCACGCTTGTAGTCCCAGCTACTCAGGAGGCTGAGGCAGGAGAATTGCCTGAACCCAGGAGACAGAGGTTGCAGTGAGCCGAGATCGCACCATTGCACTCCAGCCTGGGTAACAAGAGTGAAACTCCTTCTCAAAAAAAAAAGAAAAAGAAAAGATTGAACAATACCAAGGTAGAGAAAAATTGTGTCCACCCACCTACTTGGCAGGCTTGGAGGGACAATCATTTCAGCATAGGAGTTTGAGGCCAGCCTGGGCAGTATAATAAGACCCTATCTCTAAATAAATAATTTAATGTATAAGTAAAAACAGAAGGTGAAATTTTCAGTATGGTATTATCCTTATAGAATTGTGTCTTCCCTTTGCTCATTACTCTGTGTCCCCTGTGGTCAATTACATTACTATATAAGTTTTTCCGTCTTATAGGAAAAAAAAAAGTCATAGATTCTATACAAATCTGTACTTCGCTTTTCTCACTTAGCAATATGGTTTGAACAATGAAAAGCTTCTTTTACACATCAGTTTGATATCTCCTTAGGGCCACATTCTATTTTTTTTTTTTTCCTTTTTTTGAGAAAGGGTCTCACACTGTTGCTGAGGCTGAGGTGCAGTGGCACCATCAAGGCTCACTGCAGTCTTGTCTTCTAAGGCTCAAGTGATCCTCCCACCTCAGCCTTCAAGAGTAGTTGGGACTACAGGTATGTACCACACCCAGCTAATTTTTGTATTTTTGTAGAGACGGGGTTTTGCCACGTTACCCAGGCTGTTCCCAAACTCCTGAGCTCAAGCAATCCTCCTGCCTTGTCCTCCCAAAGTGCTGGCATTATCGGATTGAGCCACCATACCTGGTTTATTCATCTATTTCTGATGTAGAACCCACTCAGTGACAGTGTAAGGAAAATGTAAAGAATCAAGGAAGAGGCTGGATGCAGTGGCCACGCCTGTAATTCCAGCACTTTGGGAGGTCAAGGTAGGCAGATCACTTGAGGTCGGGAGTTTGAGACCAGTCTAGCCAACATGGCAAAAACCCGTCACTACTAAAAATACAAAAATTAGCTGGGTGTGGTGGCACACACCTATAATCCCAGCTACTTTGGAGGCTGAGGCAGTAGAACTGCTTGAACCTGGGAGGCGGAGGTTTCAGTGAGCTGAGATCATGCAGTGCACTCCAGCCTGAGTCCCTCTCAAAAAAAAAAAAAGGCCGGGCGCGGTGGCTCAAGCCTTTAATCCCAGCATTTTGGGAGGCCGAGGCTGGTGGATAACGAGGTCGAGAGATCGAGACCATCCTGGTCAACATGGTGAAACCCCGTCTCTACTAAAAATACAAAAAATTAGCTGGGCATGGTGGCCCGTGCCTGTAATCCCAGCTACTCAGGAGGTTGAGGCAGGAGAATTGCTTGAACCCAGGAGGCGGAGGTTGCGGTTAGCCAAGATCGCGCCATTGCACTCCAGCCTGGGTAACAAGAGCGAAACTCCGTCTCAAAAAAAAAAAAAAAAAAAAACCAGAATACAATACACAAGCAACTGAAATATTTCAACAACAAAGAAACCCTCAAAAAATCCAATTTAAAGGCTGGGCGCGGTGGCTCAAGCCTGTAATCCCAGCACTTTTGGAGGCCGAGGTGGGTGGATCACGAGGTCGAGAGATTGAGACCATCCTGGTCAACATGGTGAAACCCCGTCTCTACTAAAAATACAAAAAATTAGCTGGGCATGGTGGCACGTGCCTGTAATCCCAGCTACTCAGGAGGCTGAGGCAGGAGAATTGCTTGAACCCAGGAGGCGGAGGTTGCGGTGAGCCGAGATCGCGCCATTGCACTCCAGCCTGGGTAACAAGAGCGAAACTTTGTCTCAAAAAAAAAAAAAAAAAAAAAAAAAATCCAATTTAAAAATATCAAATGACCTGAACAGGCGTTTTTCAAAAGACAACATAAAGATAGCCAAAGCCGGGCGTGCTGGCACGTGCCTGTAGTCCCAGCTACTTGGGAGGCTAAGGTGGGAGGACTGCTTGAGCCCAGGAGTGCTGGGCTGTAGTGCACTATGCCGATCAGGTGTCTGCACTAAGTTCGGCATGAATATGGTGACCTCCCAGGAGCAGGGGACCACCAGGTTGCCTAAGGAGGGGTGAACCTGCCCAGGTCACAAATGGAGCAGGTCAAAACTCACATGCTGGTCAGCAGTGGGACTGCGCCTGTGAAGAATCACTACATTCCAGCCTGGGCAACATGGCAAGATCCAGTCTCTAAAAAATATTTTAAAAAATAAAAAAATAGCCGGGCGCGGTGGCTCAAGCCTGTAATCCCAGCACTTTGGGAGGTTGAGGCGGGTGGATCACGAGGTCCAGAGATCAAGACCATCCTGGTCAACATGGTGAAACCCCGTCTCTACTAAAAATACAAAAAAAATTAGCTAGGCATGGTGGCACGTGCCTGTAATCCCAGCTACTCAGGAGGCTGAGGCAGGAGAATTGCCTGAACCCAGGAGGTGGAGGTTGCCGTGAGCCGAGATCGCGCCATTGCACTCCAGCCTGGGTAAAAAGAGTGAAACTCCGTCTCAAAAAAAAAATAAAATAAAATAAAAAAAAAAATAAAAAAATATATAAAACACACTCATCACTAATGATCTGGGAAATGCAAATCAAAATTGCAATGAGGTATCACTTCTCCCTGTTTAGGATAGATATCATCAAAAAGACAAAAACAGATGCTGGCAAGGATGCAGAGAAAAGGGAACTCATACACTGTTGGTGCAAATCCAAACTAATACAGCTAATATAGAGCACAGTATTGCGGTCCTGTGTTATGAGCTGGACACGGTGGCTCACAGCTGTAATCCCAGGACTTTGGGAGGCTGTGGTGGGTGGACCACAAGGTCAGGAGTTCGAGACCAGCCTGACCAACATGGTGAAACGCTGTCTCTACTAAGAATACAAAAACTACAAAAATACAGGTGTGCGCCTGTAATCCCAGCTACTCAAGAGGCTGAGGCAGGAGAATCGCTTGAACCCAGGAGGCGAAGATTGCAGAGAGCCAAGATCACACCACTGTACTCCAGCATGGGTGACAGAGGAAGACTCCATCTCAAAAAACAAAATGAAACAAACAAAAAGCTACAAATAGAACTATCACATCATCCAGCAATCCCACTACCGGGAATTTATCCAAAGGAAAGAAAATCATCACATTGGAGAGACATGTACAACCCTTTACTCACTATTTACAACAGCTAAAACATGGAATCAACCTAGATGTCCAACAATAGATAAATGGTTAAAGAAAATGTGATTTATATACATAAAGGAATACTGTTCAGGGCCGGGCACAGTGGCTCAAGCCTGTAATCCCAGCACTTTGGGAGGCTGAGGCGGGTGGATCACAAGGTCAAGAGATCGAGACCATCCTGGTCAACATGGTGAAACCCCATCTCTACTCAAAATAAAAAAAAAAATTAGCTGGGCACGGTGGCACGTGCCTGTAATCCCAGCTACTCAGGAGGCTGAGGCAGGAGAACTGCCTGAACCCAGGAGGTGGACGTTGCGGTGAGCCGAGATCGTGCCATTGCACTCCAGCCTGGGTAACAAGAGCAAAACTCTGTCTCAAAAAAAAAAAAAAAGGAATACTGTTCAAAGAACAGAATCAAATCCTGTCACCTGAGGCAACATGGATGGAAATGGAGGACATTAGTTAAGTGAAATAAGCCAGGAACATAAACATGCACATTCTCACTCATATGTGGAGGCACTGGGGAAAAAAAAAAAGTTAACCTGAGAGACGGAGCAAGATTCTGTCTCAAAAAAAAAAAAAAAAGTTTATCTCTTAGAAGTGAAACGTAGAACAGAGGATACTAGAGGCTGAGAAGGGTGGTGGGTAGGCAGGGATAGAGAAAGATTTGTTAAAGGATATAAAATCACAACTAGACAGAAGGAATAAATTCTAGTGTTCTATACCACTACAGAACTAAGGTTAATAATACATAGAAATTGAGACTGAACGTTCCCAACATAAAGGAATGACGAATGTTTGAGATGATAGATACACTAATTACCCTGATCACTCTACATTATAGGTATCAAAATGTCACTATTACTCCATGGACATGTATCATTACAATCTGTCCATTTAAAAACAAAGAAATGGCCCAGCGTGGGGGCTCACGTCTGTAATCCCAGCACTTTGGGAGGCTGAGGCGGGCAGACCACGAGGTGAGTAGTTCAAGACCAGCCTGGCCAACATAGTGAAACCCTGTCTCCACTAAAAACACAAAAAATTGGCCGGGCATGGCAGCGCGTACCTGTAATCCCAGCTACTTGGGAGGCTGAAGCAGGAGAATCACCTGACACCAGGAGGCGGAGGCTGCAGTGAGCCAAGATTGCACCACTGCACTCCAGCCTGGCAACAGAGCGAGACTTTGTTAAAACAAAAAAATAAAGGAGGGGGAGCAAGTTAAAAAAAAAAAAAAAAAGAAAGAAAGAAATGTTTTAAAAAGAAACCGTTTATTTTTATGTGTGCATATAAGAGAGACAAAGTACACATATAAATGTATTTGTATAAAACAAAATTCAGAAAACATATACTAAATATAAAGCATGGTTATTGAAAATTCATACATTTATTTATTTAATCTTTGTCTACGAATTTTGCAGGGACGCTTCTCTGTCCCTAACAGCCCTCTGTATGTTACCTAACCTTTATCCCTTGTGAACATTCTGGTGTTTTAGGAGATTGGAGTTGAACGTAAAAGATTTTCCACAGTCACTACACTCATAAGGCCTTTCCCCACTGTGAACTCGCTGGTGATTACTGAGGTTAGAACTCTGGCTAAAGGATTTTCCACATTCACTGCATTCATAAGGCCTTTCTCCAGTGTGAATTCTTTGGTGTTTAACAAGGCTAGAGCGGTTACTAAAGGATTTCTGACACTCACTGCACTCATAAGGCTTTTCTCCGGTGTGATTTCTCCTATGTCTGATGAGGCTGGAGCTCTGGCTAAAAAATTTTCCACATTCCTTGCACTCATAAGGCCTTTCTCCAGTGTGAACTCTCTGGTGTTGAAGGAGTGTAGAACTATGGGTAAATGATTTCCCACATTCCCCACATTCATAAGGCCTTGACCCAGTATGAACTTTCCAATGTGCAATGAGATAGGATTTACAGGTAAAGGATTTTCCACATTCACTGCACTTATATGGCCTTTCACCTGTGTGAACTCTCTGATGAACAATGAGGTCAAATTTCCTGCTAAATAATTTTCCACATTCATGACATTCATGAGCTCTTACTCCAGTATGGACTCTCTGGTGTTGGAAGAAACGAGATCTGTAAGTAAACAATTTCCCACATTCACTACACTCATAAGGCCCTTCTCCAATGTGAAGTCTCCGGTGTTTAATGAGATGACAGCTTTGGCTAAAGGATTTCCCACATTCACTGCACATATAAGGCCTTGTACCAGTGTGAACTCTCTGGTGAGTAATAAGGCTAGAACTATGGATAAAGGATTTCCCACACTCACTGCACTCATAAGGCCTCGTGCCAGTATGAATTCTCTGGTGTGTAATGAGGCTAGAGCTATGGCTAAAGGATTTCCCACATTCACTGCATTTGTAAGGCCTTTCTCCAGTATGAACTCTCTGATGTATAATAAGATCATACTTCCTTCTAAATAATTTTCCACATTCATCACATTGATGAGGTCTTACTCCACTGTGAACTCTTCGGTGTGTAATAAGGCTAGAGCTTTGCCTATAGGATTTCCCACATTCCTCACATGTATAAGGGTTTTCTGTGTGAACTCTCAAATGATCACTGAGGCTATAGCTTGTGCTAAAAGACTTCCCACATTCATTGCACATGTAACATCTTTCCCTACTGAGGTCTCCCTGGTGCTGAATAAGTACGTGTTTGTAGCTGAAAGCTTTCATACGTTCTCCCCAGTTGTTATAACTTTTTACACTGTGAAAGGCCACTGTACTGTTGGTTCTGCTTGACTTCTTTCTGGTGTGAGTAGCCTGTTGCTGGAATCTCGCCAGGAAATCCTTCCCAACTTCCTTGCAAGTGAAGGGCTTCCCAGATACTTGAAATGTGCAGCTGTTCAAAAACATGTCTCTGCCCACATTACTTCTGAAGTGTTTCTGTCCAACATGCTCCTTCTGGTGCTGATGAAGGTATGCAGTAAATTGTAATTGTTTCCTGCATACCCCATCTGTGTACAGTTTCTGACCATGGTATGTTCCCTGGTACTCAACCAAGTGCAAAATCTCTCTCAAGACTGGGCCACATATCTCACAGGAGTTGGTCTTCTGGGGAGAAGGAAGGGCCTTAGGAATCCTAACCTGTGACACCCGCTGTAGAGAAGTGCTCTGCTGATAAGGTGCCTCCTCATCTTCTGTTCCACAACCACCTGAAAGAAAGGAAAGGCTGGTGAAGAGCATGCTGACTTTAATGGAGAAGGGGTAGCCCATAGACAAATGTGTATTCAACAAACCCAGAAACTGAGTCCATGGGGTTGTTTTCAGGACCAAGGTGTTGGGTTCAAGTTGAAGTTGGGGCTGCCTAGCAGAACTGGGCCTCTAAAGATCACAGAATTGGGGAGGCCTCATGAATTAGAAGACACAACTATGGGATGAGAAACATGGAGAAGAGGCAGGATGTACAATTCATTCCTCTAGGACAATTTTCAGTGAGATCTGCTCTCCGGCTAACACATGCATTGCATACAAGTATGTATCCAGGCCCAAGAAAATGTGCCAACAAAATAGTAGCTGACATACGTGGACACCTCATAACACAGTATGTAGAGGCCAACACTGGAGACGACCGCAGATAATCAGTGAGAAAAATGGGTGAGACATGGAGTCCAGAGATGTGGGGATTAACCCCAGGTTGGAAGTAAGAGAAGTAGTAACAAGGTGTAGAGCTGACAAGCAGGCAAAGTGTCAAGAAAGGGGATGAAAAGGCAGTAATGAGGTTTGGCCCCTAATGTCATTAGCACCAAAACATTAGACAAACAGAGTATGTTTCTGGTATTATTTGAACATAACCCTGATATAATGTCCTCTGTTAGGTGTTAGTCCTCAGGGCCAGGCTCCCTCTGAGTCCATCTTGCTGTGGGGGATATCATAGCCATCCTTGGAACCACAGGGCCTGTCCACCTGACCCCTATGATCAAGGACATGGAACCTGAAATATGCAAGCACCCAAGACCAGCCCAGAAAGACTCTACACGATAGCCCATAGGAAAAAATAACACAAAGAGAAATTCAGAGGAGGATTTTGCAAGAGGCACTCATAGTCCATATAAGTAGTGACAATGTCAGTGATTCCTGGCAGATGCAGTAATTCCTGACAGAATCAGGCATGAGGAAGTGTCAGCTAGAGAAAGGAAGTAGAACCTGGGCCTCCAGGAGCCTAAGATCTGGACTAAGTCACCTGGCCAGGGAGAGGCAAACAAGGTGAGATCCATAAGGCCGACTGTAAGAAGCCTGACTCTAAATCCTTCCACATGAAAGGGAAGCAGGTGTTGCCTGCTCAAGGAGAAAAGGTGAACATACAACCTTAGCCCTACCAACTGCAGCACCTACCCAGGAACAGAAAGCTGTGTTCATAGTCCTCTTGTGAGGACATATCTGTCCCCGAGAAAAGGGTAAGAGCAGAGACTAGCTCTGGGTACAGAGGTGGGTGTGAGGACCTTACCCAGGGAGGTTGTAAGTGTCAAGTTCTCCAGCATCACATCGTGGTACAGGCATTTCTGAGCCTCATCAAGGAGACTCCATTCCTTCCAGGAGAAGTACACAGCAACGTCCTCAAAGGTCACAATACCCTGCCAGGATGGGGACAGATGAAACCACAAATGGTTCCTTCTCTCAGGATCCATAATCCATCCCCTCACACATTTATTTACCCAATGCTCTTCTTCTTTTGAAGCTCCCCAACTCAGTGGAGAAGGCAGTCCACTGGTGCTGTTGTCTCCTTAAGGGCCTCTTGGTCACTGGTTGCAGCCACCAGTAACAAGAGGCAGGCAAAAAAATACATGTATCGAAACTGTGGGCATGGCATAAGGGCAACTACCCCTCCCTGACAAGCATTCCTCTGGTATCACCAAGATTACCTAAATCTCAACCGGGGCAGTGGGGCCATCAGGCATACTCCCTCTCCAAGTGCATATCATTCATTACACTGCACATACCTCATGTCTCCAGATCCCACAGCCACATTACCACAACCACCACTACCTCACTGTCCCATACCACAGGCTAAATCCTGGCCTCCCCACATGCTACCTGGGTGAAAGAGTGGATAACCTAATGATTACAGTGGATAACCAACAGCCAAACACAAGACACTTGACACTAGACAAATGAGATCAACAGTTTATTAATTAAAGACAAATACTCACAGCTTGTGAAAGAATACCACGCTCCACACAGGGCCATATAGAGGTAGTACTCCAGAAAAGAGTGAACAACCAGGTGCTGTGGAATGTAAGCTTTGTAGCATCAAGATGGAGAAGCTACCCTGGTCCCCAGAGGAGGGAACTGGCTTGTTTGAATTACTCAGAAAATTGGTAGGGTACTGAAACCTGCTACAAAGTAACTATTCTGGTTCCCTGAATAAGAAGGGTTCATTTGGCTAAGAGAACATATTCTTGGGAGCAAAGTGGGATGGGAAATTTGCTCTCAGGCCATCTGAGGCTGTAGTGTTTTCATCAAATGTCAAGGTGACATATCACACTGGGCCTTAATTTCTGGCCTTACACCACAACCTGGTAGGCAGCTTCCAGAGTGTGCATTTAAATAGGATCCAATATCCCAGACTTCCCATGGCTTGCACTAGTGGAAACAGCCTCAAAATTTTCTTTGAAGGCCTCCCTGCCAGGTTCCTTGCCTCAGATGTAGCCACAGATAAACACAGGTGAATCGCAGATAACCAGGGCCCTATTCTACTTGTGTGCTGCACTTAACCATCCCCTTGGCAGTCATGTAGCCAAGTAAAGCTCTTTTTTTTTTTTTTTTTTTGAGACTGAGTTTCGCTCTTCTTACTCAGGCTGGAGTGCAATGGCGTGATCTCAGCTCACCGCAACCTCCACCTCCTGGGTTCAGGCAATTCTCCTGCCTCAGCCTCCTGAGTAGCTGGGATTACAGGCACGCGCCACCATGCCCAGCCAATTTTTTGTATTTTTAGTAGAGACGGGGTTTCACCATGTTGACCAGGATGGTCTCAATCTCTTGACCTCGTGATCCACCCGCCTCGGCCTCCCAAAGTGCTGGGATTACAGGCTTGAGTCACTGCGCCCGGCCACGTAAAGCTCATTTAAATTCCAGCCTCACTGGTTGCCCATCTCACACACAATGACTCTCAGAAATGACCGTATGACACTAACTTAATCTTCCAGCCTGAATGAAACACCCAGGCCCTATCAAGTTATCATAAAATCCTGGATACCCACAAAGTAGCAAATAAGCACGATTTCTAGCCTGAGTGTCCTATGAATTTGCGTCCATCTCATATCTATTATTCACCTGGGAGCCCTGGCCCCTGCCAAACTACACTGTCTTTTACATACCCTGCCATCATGACCATTACTCCATCATCATCTTCCCTGCCTTGGCCCACTAACAGTTTTACAACTAAAACCTGGGACTTGCCCAACCTAACTGTGACCCACAACTCACTCAACTTGGGGCACACAACCGCCACATCTTGAACCACTCCCTAGATTTCAAGACCTCTATGTTCTGAACCACTCCCTAGATTTCAAGACCTATGTGTTCATCCGCCCACTTAACACCTCCATTTAGTAGGGTCTGAAAGATCTGACTCTTAGCATAGCCCAAATAAACCTGATATCCCTAGTGAATATTACTCCTACTGCCAATGTGTTCATCACCTTAGTTGATGAAACTTCTTTCCCTTCAGCTGCTAATACCAACAACCCTGGGGTCTTCTCTGAATCCTGTTTCACTCCCTCACCACCTACATTAAATAATTTAGTTGTCCCTTTTGAAACCAGGCATCCAGAATCTAACCACATCTCCTTAACCACGATCCTGGGCTAGTAACCCTCACCTGGACTAGTCCACCCTGACTTTCCTTCCTCCACCGTCAATCCCACAGTTCGTGCCCCACTGTGTACACAGATGAAGCCTGTGAGGACCTTGGTAAATCATCTATTTTTTCTGATCCGAACTTGCTATTACCTCCTGAAAACACACATAACTTCTCAAGCAGCCACTGCAGTGATGACGCCTATCCTTCTGTTCTTTGCACCCACCAGAAAGCAAGGAGACTTGTGGCTTCATAATCGTTCCCACCTCCGTATTACACCTAAGCATTTGCACATCTTGTACCTTTCTGGAACAATCTTCCACACCTGTTCATGCTGGCTGCCAGAAATCGGAACAACTCTACACATATGCTAACATGGACACAGGACCCCGGGCTTGGGGTTCGCCCACGGTCTTCAGAACTGAGGGCTGGGAGAATGCCACTTGAGAGTCCCGGACCACCACAACCCAGGGAACCTGTGGGCGAAAGTTAAGGCCAGTGAGAGACCGGGAAACCCTCCCCTTCTTGGCGTACGTTTCATAAGCCCCTCTACAGCCAAGGGAGCGGTGGAAAGAGCCAGGCCTCAGAGAAGTCGTCTATGGCGGCGTTACACGGGTTCAGGCCACCCTGTAGCCCCATGCCTGGCCTTGGAGCTGAGCGCCTTCGTACTGGCGGCATCACCTCTGCCCCAGGGCTCGGTGGCGCCTCCCTCCACGGCACACCAGGTGCTGGAAACGGGAGCACCTCCAGCAAGGCCCCCTGCTCTGTCCTGGGCTGCAGGGCCGCGAGCAGGTGTCCTCGGGGTGTTAGGACTCGGACGGGGAGGGCGGGGAAGGCCCGGAGGACGCGGCACTCACCAGGGCCGGGGCCGTCAGCGCGGCGACGGCCATCGGACTTCACCAGGGCCGAGCGGGGCCAGAGATCGTTTCTCTATTCTGGGCTGGGCCGGGGCACCCCGAGCGACGCCTCGCCTCAGTGCAGCGGGAACGGCTCCTCTCGCGCCTTCTCAATCAGTCACCAACGAGGCTGGCCCAGCGCTCCGGACAAACGCCAAAAGCGCCACGACGACGACGGAAATCCCGACGGGACGGCTCCTGCGCTTACGGAAACGCCACCTTTCCGAGGCCTGATTGGCTGGAGGTCGCCGTCGCCCAACGCAGGTCATTCTGGGTAATGTTGTCGTTCCCGCAGGCGCACGGCGAGAGAGTGAGGTCGCCGCCACCTCCTTCCGGAAGTAAAGGCCAAACCGCGGCTGGGGGCTCTGGGAAATTGCGACTCCCGGTTCCGAGCCGAGGCGGGGGTTTGCTCTTTCTTAAAGGAGCCGTACCCAGGTTTCTTCCGATTGCTGTCCGCGAGTATTGACTTGTTTTCGCGAGTTCCTAGAGGCCGTTGCTCCAAATGCACATCCTTACGGTCATTCAGTCACAAAATAGATCCACTGGTCGAGAAAGCAAATAAAAATGATTATGTTGCCGTTCAAACGCATGCACTCAAGCACTGGAGTTTTCTGTCTCTGTATATTTGGTTAAGAACAAGAAAAAAAATACTCCACACAGGTTCATGACGAAGAAGAAGAAGGTGGGATGCGGAGGCACCCCTCAGAAGCAGCACAGAAGTAGATCCCCGTTTCTGGGTCCCACAGAAAATAACTCTTCTGCCAGTATAGTCAAAGATTGTGTCCAATTTATTAAGCAACACTTGTATCCATTTAATCTCACTTCCTCCATTTCTTTATACTCACTTTAGTAATTTGACATCAAGCTCAGAAAGAGAACAACAAAAGGAATGCTATTTTGAAAATGCACGATACTAGAGCATTCACACACGGAACAAAGGGTGCTCTGAATCCCAAATGGACAACCTCTACCTCCCGGGTTCAAGTGATTTTCCTGCCTCAGCCTCCTGAGTGGCTGGGACTAGAGGCGTGTGTCACCACACCTGGCTAATTTTTGTATTTTTAGTAGAGACGGCGTTTCTCCATGTTGGCCACGATGGTCTCGATCTCCTGACCTCGTGATCCGCCCGCCTTGGCCTCCTAAAGTGCTGCGATTACAGGCGTGAGCCACCGCACCCAGTGTCCACAGTTCTTTCAACTCTGTTTTAGGTGGGTATAAGAAGGACCCAATTTGTATGATCAACTTTCACACAATTAACAGAGACCCTTTTTTTTTGAGTCGGAGTTTCGCTCTTGTTACCCAGGCTGGAGTGCAATGGTGCGATCTCGGCTCACCGCAACCTCCGCCTCCTGGGTTCAGGCAATTCTCCTGCCTCAGCCTCCTGAATAGCTGGGATTACAGGCACGGACCACCATGCCCAGCTAATTTTTAGTATTTTTAGTAGAGACGGGGTTTCACCATGTTGACCAGGATGGTCTCGATCTCTTGACCTCGTGATCCACCCGCCTCGGCCTCCCAAAGTGCTGGGATTACAGGCTTGAGCCACCGCGCCCGGCCTAACAGAGATTGTCTAAATCTGCTAAATATGCAGGATTTTTGAGTTGTGACTGGAGGAAAAACCCCAGCAAATCTCAAATCAGTATGTGTTCGTTTCCCTAATATAAAAGAAAATGTTTTCTATTATTTATGTGTTATCATAAAAGTAGAAATCTTCATCAGAGACATGGAGGAAATTTCAATGTGTACTAATAAGCAAAGAGGCCATTCTGAAAAGGCTGCACAGTGATTTTCTTTTCATTCTTTTTTTTTTTTTTTTTTTTTTTTTTGAGACAAGGTCTCACTCTCTCACCCCAGCAGTGGTACAATCATGGCTCAGTACAGCTTGAACCACCTGAGCTCAAGCAATCCTCCATCTCACCCTCCAGAGTAGCTGGGACTACAGGTGTACACTAAGCCTGGCTAGTTTTTCTATTTTTTACAGAGATGGGGATCTCACTATGTTGTCCTGGCTGGTCTTGAACTCTTGAGTTCAAGTGATCTGTCCACCTCAGCCTCCCTGCTGGGAATGAGGTACGTGTAAGCCGCTGCACCTGGCCATTTCCCTTATTTATATTTCTAGCTCACACTTTTCCAGATGGTATCCATTAGCTGTGTCAGCATGTCCAGCTGGTTGTGTAATTGGCCTTTCAGACTAGACTTGTCCGAACATTATCCCAAACCCCCTGCTCCAGGATCTGCTGTTCAAGAGTCACCCCCTCAGCTGTGGCAGCCCAGACCTTCTAGCTCCTCAGTAGTCAACCCAGTAGTCATGCTTCACTCCTTCCCTGCATGCCCATGTGGAGCCTGTGAGCAAACTGTGTTCTGCTTTCCAGGGACAGGAATTTAATATTTTTCCTCACTGCATGTGTTAACAACATTAATCCAGCTAGAGTCTTTTGACTGGCAGAGGCCTCATATGCAAGCTTTGAGCAAAGCTTGTCTTAGGGCCGGGCGCGGTGGCTCAAGCCTGTAATCCCAGAACTTTGGGAGGCCGAGGCAGGTGGATCACAAGGTCGAGAGATCGAGACCAACCTGGTCAACATGGTGAAACCCCGTCTCTACTAAAAATACAAAAAATTAGCTGGGCATGGTGGCGCGTACATATAATCCCAGCTACTCAGGAGGCTGAGGCAGGAGAATTGCCTTAACCCAGGAGGTGGAGGTTGCGGTGAGCCGAGATCGTGCCATTGCACTCCAGCCTGGGTAACAAGAGCGAAACTCCATCTCAAAAAAAAAAAAAAAAAAAAAAAAAAAACTTGTCCTAGACTCAAAATTCAACCAGAATGGAATTGGTTGTCATCAATGCATATGTGACAGCCACGGGCCACGCTACCATCATCTTGCACCTGAGTTCTTACAATTTTCTCTGTTTTTATATTTTATTTTTATTTTTATTTATTTATTTTTAAAGATGGGGTTTCACCATGTTGGTCAGGCTGGTCTTGAACTCCCGACCTCAGGTGATCGACCCGCCTTGGCCTCCAAAGTGCTTGGATTATAGGTGTGAGCCACCACGCCAGGCCCATACAATTTTCTCTAAATGGTCTT